TCTTATTTGAAAAACATCAAGAAAGCCAACACTAGATACATTTTCATGGTACTACAAAATATAGTAATGGATGAACAAGATAGTAAACACTGTTATTATTTACCTCATTGTAAAAAAAAAAATTTCCTTTTGCAAAGTCTTAGTGTTCTTTTTAATACACTAGACCCATAAATGACATGCATAAAAAATGAACAATAAAAATATTTCCACTATGATGGTCCCTACATATTTGAAAAAATATCCAAAGTCTTTTAAAAATAATAAAAATCTAGTAATTGACATAATGATGAAAGCTAATATCAACATTTTCAAGGTCACCCACTAAATGGCAAAGGAGGGATTTAGACCCAGAGCTGTCTGATTCACCACCCGACCATTATCCTCTCTACTTCTCTGACATTCAGTCAGTGGAGGTTATTAAAACCATTGCTCCTTCAGGCACATGTGGACTGAATAAATGACTCTGACAAATAAATGAATAGGAAAGAAACTGGGACAAGCGTGGTATCCTCTTGGAAGGAGACTCCTCTGTGTTTCCACAATACCATTTGCATGCTTGTTACAAGGCTTATCTTGCTGCACTCTTTACTTTCTTATTTATCTCTTGACTAGGCCTACGGAGGGTACTGGTGTTTCAGTGGTAGAATTCTCACCTTCTCTCTGGCCAAAGACCCAGATTTGATATCTGGTCATGCACCTTATGCGCAGCTACCATCCGTCAGTGGAGGCTTGGATGTTACTTTGATACTTAACAGGTTTCAGGGGAGTGTCCAGACTAAAACAGAATGGAAAGAAAAGCCTGGTGACTTACTTCTAAAAGTCAGCCAATGAAAACTCTGTAGATCACAATGGTCCATCCAAAACTGATCGTGGGGATGGTATAGGACCGGGAAGTATTTAGTTCCATTGTGCCTGGGGTCACAGTAAGTCATGGGCTGACTTGACTGGAGCTACAACAACAATGGAGATAGGCTCCACACCAAGAGGCAGGAAGCGGGGGAAGAGCCAGGGATGAGACAGAGCTGCGGGATACAGGTAAGGGGAGGGTGGAGAGGTTTTGAACAGCTAAGGGAGAAAAACTTGTCTGTCAGTTTGTCGTACTGTGATAGCTTACTTGTTGCTGTGAGGCTTGAGGCTGTGCCACTGGTGTTTCAAATGCCAGCAGGGTTGCACATGGTGCACAGATTTCAATGCAGCTTAAAGACTGAGACAGACTAGGAAGAAGGAAGAGGCCATCCATTTCTCAAAGAACTGGCCAGGGAAAACCTTATGAATAGCAGAGAAACACATCTGATACATTACTGGACAACCTTATGAATAGCCCTGAAACATTGTTTGGTATAGTGCAGGAAGACAAACTCCTTAGTCGGAAGGCCCTCAAAATATGACCAGGAAAGAGCTGCATCATCAGAGTAGAACCAACCTTAATAATATGGATAAAGTAAAGCTTTTGGGATCCCCATTTGCTGACGTGGCATGACTCAAATTGAGAAGAAACAGCTGCAAACATCCATTAATAATAGGAACATGGAATGTACAAAATATGAACCTAGGAAAATTAGAAGTTGTCAAAAATGACATGGAACGCACAAAGATTGATATTCTAGGCGTTAGTAAGCTGAAATGGACTGGTTTTGGCCATTTTGAATCAGACCACCATGTGGTCTACTATGCCAGGAATGACAATTTGAAGAGGAATAGTGTGGCATTCATCAGCACAAAGGATGTTTCAAGATCTGTCCTGAAGTACAATGCTATCAGTGATAGGATAATGTCCATATGCCTACAAGGAAGACCTGTTAATACTACTATTATTCAAATTTATGCATTAAGCACCAAAGCCAAAGATGAGGAAATTAAAGATTTTTATCAACTTCTGCAGTCTGAAATTGACTGAACATGCAATCAAGATGTGTTAATTATTACTGGTGACTAGAATGCAAAAGTTGAAAACAAAGAAGAATTACTGGTAATTGGAAAGTGTGGCCTTGGTGACAGAAATAACACTGGAGACTGCATGATAGAATTTTGCAAGACCAACAACTTATTCTTTGCAAATACCTTTTCTCAACAACACAAAAGGCAGCTATACGCATGGACTTCACCAGATGGAGTAAACAGGAATCAGATTGACTACATCTGTGGCAAGAGGTGATGGAAAATCTCAATATCTTTAGCCAAAACAAGGCCAGGAGCTGATTGTGGAACAGACCACCCACTGTTCACATGCAAGTTCAGCTTGAAGTTGAAGATAATTAAAACAAGTTCACGAGTGCCAAAATATGACCTTGAATATATCCCTCCTGAATTTAGAGACCATCTAAAGAATATATTTGATTCACTGAACATCAGTGACTGAAAACCAGAAGAATTGTGGGATGACATCAAGAACATCATCCATGAAGAAAGCGAGAGGTCATTAAAAGGATGAGAAAGGAAGAAAAGACCAAAATGGATTTCAGAAGAGATTGAAACTTGCCCTTGAGTGGAGAGTAGCTAAAGGAAATGGAAGAAATGACAAGATAAAAGAGCTAAACAGAAGATTTCAAAGAGCAGCTTGAGCAGACAAAGCCATTTACTATAATGAAATGTGCAAAGACTTGGATTTAGAAAACCAAAGGGAAGAATATGCTCAGCATTTCTCAAGCTGAAAGAACTGAGGAAAAAATTTAAGCCTCAAGTTGCAATATTGAAAAATTCTATGGGCACATAACAACAAACAACAACATGGGCAAAATATTGAATGATACAGGAAACATCAAAAGGAGATGGAGGAAATACACAGAGTCATTGTACCAAAAAGACCTGGTCGATCTTCATCCATTTCAGGAGGTGGCATATGATCAAGAACCAATGGTGTTGAAGGAAGAAGTTGAAGCTGCACTGAAAGAATTGGCAAAGAACAAGGCACCAAGAATTGATGGGATACCTATTGAGATGTTTCAACAAATGGATGCCCCGCTGAAGGCACTGACTTGGCTATGCCAAGAGATTTGGAGGACAGCTACCTGGCCAAATGACTGGAAGAGATCCATATTTGTGCCCATTCCAAAGAAAGGTGATCCCACAGAATGTGGAAATTATCAAACAATATCATTAACATCACATGCAAGTA